ACGGCATTGAAATAATGCCGGATATGGTTGGGCAAGGGGGAGGGGGAGGCGTGGTGGTTGAAGAATTCGTAGCCGCATAGTCCTCTAACTCTTTCCTTTTTATCAAATCTTATTATTGCACATTCCAACAGTGTTAATGCTCTTCGGTACTACTCTTCTTGGCTAATATAAAAGCATAAATGTCAAACAGAAGTAGCTTTTTTGCCTTATTTCTTCTGATTGTGAACTATATTCATGCTCTCAATCATGTTAGCTAAACTTTGGCAGAAGATGCTAAGTAAATCAGACCCCATACATATGCATGAACACGCAAACCGTCGTGTTGGCGACCAAGGTAGTTGGATGTGAGCGGTGTGCATGAATACATCCTCTTTCCCATTGATAGTTGTCTTCCTCTACACCCCTCTTTCCACTGTTCAACCAGGTGGGTAGCCATTGCGCGTGAGAAGAACAGATGGACTTCCCTGAGTGCATCTTCCACCGTTGAAGCTCAAAAATCTAGCCCTCCTCCCCCTTTTCATCCATACCCCACCCCACATATAGCAACCTGTCTCTGCGTTGCAGGGACTGAGAAAGATTTACTCGCTAGTGGCGTGTTTGCGACCGTTTGTCTCTTTCTTAGAGTAAGCGCGTGTGTTTGTGTGTGTGTATGAATTGGGAGTGATGAAGCTAGTGGGCAGCCGGAGAGATGCAACGAAACAGATGGGAGTTTGTTTGCACGATCTATCATTAGGAGAGTGAACATATGGCGTCAGGTAAATCACACACACATACACACACACGCTCACACATTCCTGCCTAGTAGACACACCGACATCGAACTTAGGTGTGTGATCGGGTTAATGCCCAGTTATAATGCTTGAAAAGATTTTAAATTTTGCATAATCCCTGCATGACATCCTTAAAAAAACCGCTTTAAACAGTTAAGGCCACTTTAAAACAGCCATGGAGGCCATGTGTAATTGGCCTCGTTTCAGATGGTTCGGATGGTAAATGTTATGAGCACTCTTTACGCCAAAACATTAATTGTATCCCCACAAGTGTTCACCTTTTAGATCACAGCTGAACAGCCAACTATGCAACATCCCATTTCTACATATTTAAAATAGATGCCCTTATCAATACATATTTTGCCTAATTCATTTTATAAGGCGAAATATTCATATCAAGAGGATCGCCTTGAAACATACGGATAAGTAGGTTGCAAAAAGTTGGCAATGTAGATGTGATCGCCCAGTGCCTCAATCTTTCTAGCTCTGGTATCGTTACATGGAACTGCTGTGAAGCATCGGTGAATGGAATAGGGGTGGCTTGAAAGCCTTTTATAATTGTGGATACCGTGATTTTTCCGTCGGAATGCTCTGTTTTTTATTACAAGGGATTAGCAGCAGAGAAATGTACCATGTTACATTTCAAAATTGCTATCTAGCACTCGTGACATATTTTAAAAGGACTGGAATCGCTCTGATGAACATGACCAACCGCACAGACACCAAGTTCATGTTACTTTCTGCTCACTTGCAACATGACTGGGAGTGACTGTGAAATATGGCCAAATTTACATGACTTAGTAGGTGCACACAATAAGTTGATTTCAAAGAGCAGGAAATTATCGCTTTACTTTCTTTACAAAACACTCCTTTTTATGCATATGAGATCGTTTATGCTAATGACGTGGTGATATTTTTGAACTTGTAGACCATCACATTTTCTTATGCAGGCCAAAATTTCGGCCTTGCGACTTGAGCGTATATATAAGGCATCAGCTATTCACGAATCGTTCAAAGGTAGGCTTGCATGATAGAAATGGTTCGGTAAATTATCAAAACTAGTCACCTTATAAGGGCCGAATGATTTTTCCAGTTGAATTATCAAATAGAGGAATGCCAATTAGGTAGGTGAGCCCAATCGAAGTAAGTAGACAACCCTAATTGGTATTTCCCTAGAGAGGTGAGAAAAGGTTAAAATGGAAGTGAAGTGGGATTCCTCCAGGCAATCTAAGACCATTCTTGCCTAATTTGTCTTCTTCCTTCATCTCTCTCCTCCGCTTTAGCATTTTCCAATTACTAATCCTTTCAAGTGTAGGAAGTGTATGAAGACAATTCCGAGGAGCTAAAGAAAAAGCAATGACCGAAAATAGGTGGGAAACTGAGCAACAACTCACCCCATCGTTCGACTCAACTGGTGAACACAGGGTATCGAAGCGGTCCTCTACGAGTTTTCTTCCTTCTTCCTGAATGGCATTCATCTCAGAGTTCGGTGGGGACTGAGACGTCGGCAGGAGAAAGTGGTGATGAGAGATTGGAGGAAATTGGGGTGGAGGTGGAGATGCCAGTGACGTGGTCGAAGATTCTGAAGTCTCTGTTGGCGGAAAATTAGGAGTGAAGCCCTTTAACGATTGCTCCCAGGAGTTGAAGTAAGTTGGCCAAGGTTGTGATTGCTGCTGTTGATCAAGGGGCATCTCACCCACCTGCATTTGCCAAATTCGCACAAAGAGCATTTGGGCGAGTGTTTGAGGACTGAAGATTGGTGGTTGTGGAGTTGTCAGATGGCTCACGGGGGGAATTGGGAGTGATGGTGGTGGTGGTGGCATCAGAGGTAGTGGGAGCAACGGTACTGTAGGCAATGGCGGCTGTTCTGATGGTAATGAAAGTGTGGATCTTACCATTGCTTCTCTTTTAGGAACTGTTAAATCAAGGGGTTCTTCGTCATTACCACATAACACTTCCGTCTCTCCTTTCCGATCTCGGGAACGAGCATTCTGGAACCATATTCTCACCACCTTGGGCCGAAGATTTGCTGCATCAGCAAGCCGTTGAAGTTCAACTGTGGATGGCATTGGATTAAGTCGATAATATGTCCGCAGAATGTTTGTCTGCTCTGGTTTAATCACTGACCGAGCTCGCTGCAGTACAGAAGGAGGTGATGGTGTAAAAATACCCACTTCTGATGTTGGTACCTCTGAAACTGTATCCACCTGCCCAGTGGTGCATTTCTTGCTTGACATATGGCTGGAATACGAGCCAGAATGGCTGAATCGCTTGCCACAGTTGGCACAAGTAAAAGGCTTCTCACCTGAGTGAATGCGTACATGCTCCTTCAGATGGTGCTTGAATTTGAAGGCTTTGCTACACTGATCACAGCGAAATTTACGCAGTTCAGCACTCTCAGTATGGCTTAACTGATGACGTTGGAGGCGATAGATGTTAGCGAATTGTTTCCCACACTGTAGACAAGCAGGAACATGAGTCTTGGAGGTGCTAGTTGACATTCGGTGTGTGGAACTGTTTTCCAAGGATTCGGGAAGAGAAGGGGAGAGCGAGTGTGTCGGAGAAGAGGTGGTAGTTTCGTCCTGGCGGTGGATGCTCTCCATGTCTGGAACGCCGCGCCAGCAGACGGAAGCGAGCATATCGAAAGGGGAAATGAGGATGAGAAGAAGGAAGAGGGAAAAGGGGCGGCTGAATGAGCTCCCTGACTGTTTGCGCGCGCACGCTCCATTCCACCTACGCACGTGCGGCCGTGACCGGACAGGAGCCAATGGGAAGGGGTGAGTAAATAAGAGACAAGCGCGTATCCTCACACCCTCTCAGCTCAATTCACCTTCGCTACTTCTTGCCTCCCTCCTCATCTCCCCCCACCCCTAGCCTAGTCCCACTATGCTAATTTCTGAGTGGATAAATTTAAATATTCCCCCTAGCGCGTAAATCTACCTCTGATGGAAACGTTTTCTCAATCAGCGATAGGGTCAACCTTCCTTTCTCCACCTTCCAGTCATAATGCACATCGCCTCACAAGTTGGCCTTTTCCAATATGCTAATAGGATGTGCCTCATAGTTGTTGCTTTACCAAATTCCACCAGTTCTTCTATGAAGAGCAACTACGTTTAAACGCAATCGATCGTCTAAAAATTATTCTGACTTGGATTGGGAATTTGTCGACTTGTCAAAGCACAGTTAAAGCTGATACAAAGCTAAAAGTAGAAATTTTCTTAATCCTCGGTGACAATAGGTGTTGAAAGGGTAATTAAAGCAGTATCATAGTGCTATTTTCACAGTCGTTGGAGTAAGAGGTCATTTTTGAAAATGAAAATACGGAACGACTGCAATATTTAGTGTCACCTAAAAGCGTTTACAAAACCATATGACCGAATTACTATTCATTCCTGACTTTAGGAGTAGCGCTGCTGCAATCGTGCACTAGTAGCCGCATAGAGCCACTTAAATTTGGGTTGACTCCACACCCTAAATTTCCATTGTAAAACTTAAGAAAAGTTCTAGCATTTATAAATTTCAAGTTGACAAGTTAATGTGGAAATTCTTCAACCTCTGCACTGTTCACTTCATCCTCTTGCAACACCTTTGCGGATTTCCACGGTTAGAAGCTACCTTTTGGATGGCACAGATTATGAAGGTGGGGAGAGACGCTACACTTGGCATAAATTTAGAGGAATTTGAAAATTCACAATGCTACCCAGAGTATGCACTCCTTCAGCCAATCTTATGCCTCGAGCGTTCTAAAATAAGGGATGATAACGCAAAGAGTGCATACAATTTAAAATGATTTCAAAATTAATGCACTCCGCTAACCACTTTTAATCAAGGTGAGGCCCCAAAACTCGGCTATGAATTTGCAGAACCTTTCAATCGCCTCCAACATTTTGCTCAAAGGTGATTTTTTCACCCTTATAAAAATTATTAATCCGTAAAAAAGGCATTCAATGTACAGAGCAACAACTACCCTTTTTGAATTTTACTTAGGTCACTTAAAATCATTTATCACTATCATATTCGATTCAAAGTCAAACGGAATGCGGCATTGTTTTAAAAGAGACCTTAAAAGTGTTTTCCATTTTTTAGAAAAATTATTTAGTAATATGATGATCCCTGTTCATTTTCTTTACGCAGTCTTAGTCTAGATCTCTTGCCACAAACCG